ATTTGTTTCAATGCTCAATTTTTACATTTATTGTAACAAGCTAGAACGAAAGCGCCCGAAGGCGATAGCTCAAAAAAAAAAAAGAGTATTTCCAGGTTCAAGCAGCCATCCTCCTGCACGCAGTGCCAGTGCACATGCTCTCATTTCGTGCGTGTGCTATCCAAAGTTCCAAACTATTATCAACATTTTTCTTTAAAAAATGGTCTACATATTCATGTTCAAACCATCATCAACTAACGTGAACACACGTACTCTTATTTAGTTATTTGTGCATGGCATCCAAACTGTCATTTTTCTAAAAAAAAGTTATATTATTTTTTCACTTTTATAAATATGCAAGATGTTTATTTTGTTTTGGTTCTCTTATGTTTCTCCGTATAAACTGAATTAAGTATTTTATTTTGTGAAGTGATATAGATAAGATCGATCTTAACCTGTACTACATTGTTAAAACACTTTACAATTTTTTTGGATATCTAGGTGACAAAGGATATACACTGCCGGAACGGTCGAGATTCTCGGTACCATCACGCGTTTTGTGGCCGAAAGCGGCCGACTTTGATAAGCCTTTAGGGGAAGATCGAACGAACGTAGAACATGGCCGTGTTTAGTTGTTTTGGTAAAAAAAAATTTTATATATACACATTACAAATGTATTAAATATAGATTAATAATAAAATAAATTACATATTTCGCCTGTAAACTGCGAGACGAATCTATTAAGTCTAATTAATCCGTCATTAGCAATTGTTTACTGTAGCATCACATTGTCAAATCATAGTGTAATTAGGCTCAAAAAATTCATCTCGCAATTTACATGCAAACTGTGCAATTGGTTTTTTATCCACATTTAATACTCTATGCATGTGTCCAAATATTTGATGTGACGAAAAAGTTAAAAGTTTGAAGGGAACTAAACACAACCCATGTGTGAGGAGTGAGTTTCGGGTGAGAGGGACCAGTACATACAACCTCTTTTCCAAAATAATATATATTTCCGTTAACTTTTCGTATAATGTTTTATCATTTATTTTATTTAAAAATTTAATATAGATATGTAAAAACATAAGTTAAAATTATAATTTATTTTATTTGTGATAAAACAAGTCACAACAAAATAAATGATATTTACAATTTTTTTAGTAAGACGAATGATTAAACATTATGCGAGACGTCGTACATTTTGAAATGGGCGGAGTAGTATATACCTTTGATGGTAGATTAAGCCTGCTTGTTTGTGCAATTTTTGGGAAGCGGATTATAAGCCGAAGGCAATTTTAAAGTCTTCAAGACTTCAGCTTCTTGGCTGAGGATATCATCCGCATGTTTAAAGAGACCAATCAGTAGCTTGATTAAGGCTATCGTAAACTTAAAAAGTAAATTTATTTAATTTTAAAAAGTTTTACATAGAAAATATTTTTAAAAAATAAAAGCGTGCTAAAAAAACTAGGAGCTAGATAGGCAGCTGGTAAGTAGAATCAAACAGTGCCTTAGCAGTCATACAATCAGTTGGTTTCCCTTGAGTGTAGGTTAATTAAGGGTGTATTTATGAAGGTGTGAGTACGTTATTACGTGCATGTGTAGTGTTGTATGTACGTGTCTACCATGTCATCGGAAAAAAGCTAACTCATAAAAAGAGATGATTAAAAGCCATAAATTAATCTTAAAATTAAGTCATAGTTAAAATTCAAAATTATCGTCACTTGTAAACTTAAGCTCAAACAAAAATACCCTTGATTACATTCTTGTAAAAAAAAGAAGAAGAAAAGCTAAGTTACCTGCGACATGACGTACGGATGAACGTTATATTTAACAAATCTTGGGGTGTGTTTGGAAGCGAGGGTTACGAAGCAGCAGGGTTACGAAGCAGTTTAGTGCATGATTAATTAAGTATTAACTAAAATAAATTAAAAAAATGAATTAATAAGATTTTTAGAGTAACTTTTATATAATTTTTTTTAAAAAATACACCGTTTAGTAGTTTGAAAAGAGTGCGTGTGGAAAACAAGAGATGTGGGGTGAGAAAGTAAAGATAAGAACTCAGCTTTTCAGTTCCCTACGGGATAAGTTTCTCATGCACTACTTGACCCCCAACAGCTCCACTAGCGCAAGTGCTTGCACTTGTCATCGCAACAAAAAAAAAATCAACAAAACAGCTACGGTACAAATTATGTTGCACTTGTAAAAGCGATCAATTAATAAAAACTAATCTCCTAATAAGTACAGATACACATATAAAAATCGCTTTATTATAATTAAAGATAGTATCTTGTCTTCTTCTCTTTGATATGTAAGGGCAAATGGACAATCACAAATGAAAAAAACATAACGCGAATATTAGGAAGTAACCTAATATTAAATAAATAGAAGAGGCTAGACTTCGAACTCAGCCAACTAAGCCCATCGTCACCTTGTTGAGCAGTCAGGAATCCCTGGCATTTCTCGGGCAATCACAAATGAGCTCTCGATCGATCTCCTTTTCTATCTGTCTGCTTCTGCAAGCAACTCGATCGATCTATATATCTAGCCAGATTATTCCTAGCTTGAGTGTTTCGCAACTGCATATGCTAGGTCCCCGGCCGATAGATCGATAGAAAGCCTCCTGCATGCAGGCCAGTTGGTCGCATGCGTAATAGCTTTAGGACCTGTTCCTTCCTGTTCTATAATTCTTAGCGTTTTAGATAAAATTAAGGCTAAACTATTATAAATTATCTAGCTTAAAAGGCAAAATATAAATATATAGATTTATCTCACAAAGTATACTATGATAAAATTAAAATTGTATTTATTTATTGTATATATTTTGTAATAAAAAGCTATAGTTATAGATATATTTTAGAGATGGTGTCATTATTCAAAACGTTAAAAATTACGAACGGAGGTAGTAGGAGTACTTGGGTACTTTTGACAACTATAGCTACTTAAAAATCGCTAGCTCCTTTAAAAGATATAAATTTTGTTTCGATTTGGACACTTAGTAACTACTTCATATGTCCCAAAATATAAGTAATTTTAGAGGGATGTGAGGCATCATAATACTACAAGGCCGAGTTTAGTTTCAAACTTTCAACTTTTCCATCACATCAAAACTTTCCTACACACACAAACTTTCAACTTTTCCGTCACATCGTTCCAATTTCAACCAAACTTTCAATTTTGGCATCGTTCCAATTTCAACCAAACTTTCAATTTTGGCATAAACTAAACACACCCCAAATTTAAATAACATATATATTTCTCCAAAATCCTTTATATTATAGGACAGTTGGAGTACATAAGAGAAAAATAAATTAGTAGCCATCGACTCAGCTTATAGATTCTGATTAACTGGATACTTAAGTACTTAACTGCTTCTCAGAACATACATTTAGGTCTCAAATAGGTTTAAGTCGGGTAATCCACCTGGCTCAGAAATGCAGCTCATCTGCCTCGATCAAGCGATCAAGCGAACTACTAGCTAGCCTAGCAGTAGCTGCAGGTTAGATTGGGAGTTAGGTTGCGTTAACTAATATAATCGCGCATTAATTCGATTTGATCATCCATGATGCATTACATCCGACCACACCTGACGTACGACATTACTGATCACCAACTACAACAGTTGCCATCTAGTGAAAAGTAACAATGGTAGATCAAGATTATGTCATATAATACACATGTTTAATATATAATTATCCTATCATGACAGTGTTTACTTAGACGAGTTTGCAAGTGCTATTTACACCTGCTCCCGGTGTTTGCACACACATTGTCATTATTAGCAGATCGGCGTCAGGTCCTGCAGGCTGCATTATCCTGCTAGCACTTTAGACCCCCCCCCCCCCCCCCGGTTTTGAGATATAAGCATTTTTAGATTATTTAGCAGAGATTAAAATCAGAAAGAAAATATTTTGATACATCTCATTAAATAAGAGATGGTTATGGTACAAGCATTTCTAACATGTTTAGCAGATGTTAAAATCACAAGAAAAATATTTTCATACAATTAAACAACATATGGTTATGAGTAAGATGGAGAAAAAATAAACAGAAGTTGGTTGATGAGATGAGTAGTAGTAATAAGAATATGTAGCACAAGAAATGCTTATATTTGAGTATAAATTTTAAACGATAGAACTGCTTATATTTCGAAACAGAGGGGTTAAATCTTATCCAGATGCACACTATTCCAGTTTGGGCTATGCTGGGGAAGATGAAAGCTGCGTTTGCATCATTCACGCGGAGCTCGCTTTATTCCTCTTTGGCAAAGGTAAGGTAATAACGCGCCAGGGCAAGCTGGCCATCTTTTTTTAGATTAAAACAAAAGGCAAAAGAGATGAAATGAAGAATCATCGAAGGTAAAGAGATGGACCATCAATGATGAGAGGGGTTACACAATTGTACTCCATTCGTCCAAATAAAAAACCCAACCTAGTAATTATTTAGATTCATCGTAATAGATTATATCCCATCCTTAATTAGGTTGGGGTTTTTTTTGGACTGAGGGAGTACATATTTGCAATGTTTTTGAAAATCAAAAGCCCATTTAACCAAAGGAAAGATCAGGCTTAGCTGTGTCGACGGCCCAGCAGCCAGCACTAGATTGAGCCCAGTGAGAGATGCAGAAAATATTTCGAGGTCGAACTCAACTTAGTGGACAATGACTAAAAGTAATTTGACTTCTTTTTTAATCTAGGAAATATACAGATAAGACTGTTCACTTACAGGTTATTCAGATAGCGATGGGAGCAACAGGCCAGGCATTCTTGATGCCTTCTGAATCTGCAGTGAGTTTCTACCAAAAATACCAGGTTGTGACTTGTAAATTACCAATGGAAAGGAGAGAGATTAGTTTGAGCAGACTGCATATTTCAAAATCTTGAAAAAAAAATCAAGCTTTCAAGCTCTCGATTTCCTGTCTCTCCACTTTATAACAACTTGAATTTGCACGTCAGAATTAAGAGCAGCTCTTGATGAGAGCTAAATGATCTTCTGGTGATTTAGCCTCTTAGGTAGTAGTGTAAAACAACGAAAATCATCATTCTGTACATTTCTTTCCCACAGTGTCAAATTGGACTTTTTGTAATACAGTAAACCATCCAGTACAGGATTACATATCTATATTGAACCTGAAATTCTCCATCTTTTCTATAAAAACACGATGGTGACTTTGACTCCTCCAGGAAAACCACAGCATATGCTTTTGATTTTGGAATGGAGCAGACAGACATTCAGATAAATTTATTGAAGAGTACTACCAACTGTGACTGTTTGGTGAGTCTTCCTGCAGCAAAACTTGATGTTTCAGTGTAAGTAGCAAACAGTATTACTTATGCACTTATTTCTTTTACACATATAAAAAAAAAGATCTAAGGGAAGTCCATAATACTTGCGCGAAAATGACGGAATGCAATCCCTGAGAAATTCAGATGTCCTGTATCCGATGAATTATTTCAGGATCCCATTGTCCGCTGCTGTAACTGGATGGAACAACAGATATCTCTTGCCTTCCTTGCCACTCTTCACCAGGCCTTAATGTAATTGGCTTCTCAGCATTTGCAGCCCCTACACATAGCATGCATTTGTACTCTTCCTCCCCAAAATCCAGTATCGTTTTTGCTTTCCTGTCCCATGGGTTCCAAACAACTGCATAAAAAAAAGTATACTGACGAGACATATATATACAGAAGGCCCCTTGTGGGTGGCTTCTTTGTTGACCCGGCAAATACACACACACACACACACACACACATAAAAGTAAGCAAAACAAAAGGACCAGAACAACCGTGCTGTGTAATCCAGAAATTAGCATCTTACCAACATCAGGAAGTCCCTCTTTCCTTAACTCAAAAGTTCTCTTCTTGTCATGGTCAATGATCACAATCTTGGGTGGAGCACTCAAATATACCTTCTCCGCCTTAGCAATCAAAGCATTAACAAGAAACACAATCTTACTGCAATGGCTGCAAAATATGAAACTTGCAAATGAATTATGAAGCTTACTTCAGATTCGAATACAACGGCATCTCCTTGTTCAGTACAACGTTTTCCACATTGCAGGTTGTCAATGTAGTCCAAGGTCTCCAAACCCTCAACCCGTACTTCACTGGAATGTGAAAACAATTTTTATGGAGGAAAAATACAATGTAGAAGCCAAGTACCCATATAGTACATCATTCATTCTGTACATTTGAATAATATTTGGAGTGATAAAATCCAAAAGAGGTCCGAACATAACTTTTGTCAACAAAAATCAGCACGACTTAGTATAGAAGTGCATATCCTATGAGCTATATGCCTCAGTCAAAGAATGTAAGAAATGCCTAATTTTACATATAAACATAATACAAGCAAATTACCACGACAAAATGTACCTGATGTCAGAGACTGAAAAATATGTGTTATATGAAAATCCAAATTTGAATGGCTTCCCATCTGCATTGGTATTTTTTATTCGAGATGTGAGCATCAGATCTCCTGTAGGGCTAAGAGCAACTCGCAGCCTAAACTCAAAACTGAAATATATGGATAATCAACTTCATCAATTTAGCAGGAGCCAAAGGATATATCAATTCAAAAATGGAACATTCTAATCTACCAATGCCATAGCAAATAATGTTAAGGATTTACTAGAGGACACCTATGCGGCCAGATCTTCAAATCTTCTGGGGACTGCTTGAGTATCAAGTCAATATGACAGTTTGAAGTGGTAGCTGGAAAAGGAGGGGGAGTTTCATCAACACTCCATAATCGGTTCCTTGCAAATCCATGTTGTTCAAGAACTCCATGGTTCCCAAACTGCATGATGGATCGTCCATTTTGGGTATTACAGGGGAGACAAAATTCTTGAAAAACATAACTGGACTATGAATGAACAGTCCCAGGGTCATACTTGAGGAAAGCAAATTTGTATGCCCCCACGAATAGCCTTTGGTGGTTTGAAATAAGCCTGCCAAGAAATTTAAAAAATGTGGAATTATTGGGTAATTGTAAATGGCTTAAGTGTCAATTCATGTAATTGGAAGATAAAACGTTTGACACTCATAACATATCTCATTTTCCTGAAAAACTAAAAACGACCAAAAAAAAGAATGGTAAAACAACCACTTATCTAAGAAAAGGAAGCCTTGCTGCCAAATCTGTAGAGTGCATAAATGTAAAAATGCATTCGATATATAGGCCTGCAAGGCAGAAATAATGCCCTTACTGAACATTAAAAGATCTGAATACCTTTCTACTAACAAAGAGCAGTTGTTCTCGATATTCATTTTCCCAAAAGATCACTTGGCCTCCGTACAGAAATACCTGAAAATAGTGAAAAATAACGTACTTGACCATTTCTGAGGAAAAAAAAAGATAATAAGGAACCTGTAAGGTTATCTAATATAACTGAAACAACAACAACAACAACAACAAAAAGGTCATAAAAAAACAAAGCATGAGCAATGTGCAAACATGTCCAAGTGATTTTTGTTTGAACGAAAGGCAACTTGCCTTATTCATTAGAGCAATATTTACAACAAACATGTCCAAATGATTGGGTCTAAAACAGATGAGACATACCGTTGCCGAGAATACTTAAAATAATGGCAAAAGGCCAATCAAAACCACAGCTAACAATAGCATCATGGTGTCCACCCCCAATAAACAATTTATCCACATCTTAAAGAATGAAATCAAATGATACTAAATTAAGCGTAGATATGAACATCCACCTCCACAGACAAGCCAAAGGTCAAACACCAATTGGGCATTTGACCAAACCTGCTACCTTCCCTCGCATGATCGCAACAAACTAAACTACAGTAATACTCAAACATTTTCTCCACCACCAGAATCAACTCCATTAATTCCCACCAATTCCCCCTAACTAATTACATCTCAATTACAATAATTTTGTGGAGGATTGGCGACGAACAGATCGATCCAGTGCTAGAAATACTGCAACTGAAAGCTAGGGTTGAGGAGAGGGGGTCGACCTGGACGGAGCAGCCATGGGCCTCGCGCAGGACGAGCTTCTCCAGCCCAGTGGCGCCGTCCTTCACGACCTCCACGGACGACACCCCGCCGGCCATCGATCCTAGCCGCCGCCGCCGCCGCCGGGGAGGAAACGGAAACCGGCGGTGAACTCCGGTGGGGGAAAAATTGGAGGGAATTGAGGAGAAACGATGGGATTTGTCGCTCAAATTTATAGGCGCTGGCGAAACAAAGAGGGAAAAAAAATTGTTCCAGAGTTTGAATTGTTTCACGTCAATTTCATATATAATAAAATTTTCAAAAAAAAAAAATCTGTTGAAGTACTGATTCAAGGTTTGCCGCAGCTAACCCATACGTACATAAAGAAAATTATAATATTTTTTTGAAAGCAGCAAAGTGCTTGCACGTATGTAGATTGATTCCAGGGTATTATTTAGGTTATTTTTTGGCTGGAAAATTAAGAAGAAGAAGAATATTTCTATGTGCTGCTGTTGATCAGAACAGGTCATGCGTTTTCATTATGTTGGTCTAATTTTCTGACCAGCTGTGAGCCATTGTAGACTTTTGTATTTATTTTTTTGCAGCAAAGGAAAACAGAAACTTCAAACCTAAAAGAATAGCCAACTTGAAAAGGCTTTACTATCCTACCTGAGTTACACCCTGCAGCAGAGACAACCGATTCAATTCACCAACAAGAGCATGTTTTTTTTTAAAAAAAAAGAAAAAAAAACTGTGTTAAGAAAAAAGAAGATGCGAAAACGAACGTTACTACTACTTTCAACGGAAATTGCGAGAGGCCTGTTGGGCTGTCTTGAAAATGGGCCAAGCTGTTGGTTTTGGGCCTTTCAGTTGGCTCTGTCACATAATGGAAATAAAGCCCAATAGTCTCAGGTTGTGTTGGAGAATTGAGGGGTTTCGTCTGTTGACCTAATTGTGTTGGAGAATTGAGGGGTTTCGACTGTTGACCTAATTATTAATCAAAGATAAAGTCAAAATTTAAAATTTTAAACTTAAATTTGAAGTTAATTTTAAGACAATTTTGACGCAGTTTTTTTATATTGGCTTTTAAGTCGCTAAGAACACATATACAAAAGTTTTACCTATATATTATTTTTTATTCCCTAATAAACAACTTATATTAGATAATATGGGCAACCGATGAGGCTGTGAGAGAAGGGGGAAAAGAAGATTGATAAGATACGTAAAACCAAGTGAGCTATTAGTACATAATTAGTTGACTATTTATTATTTTAAACTTAAAAATATATTAATATAATTTTTAAAGCAACTTTCCTATAGAGAATTTTTTGCAACCAACGTACTGTCAAATAGTTCAGAAGGCGTGCGTGTTGAGAATGAGATATCTTTTCTCCCAACCCATTGGGAGAAAAACACAACCTCAATTTACTTTAGTTCAGAAGGCATGCGTGTTGAGAATGAGATATCTTTTCTCCCAACCCATTGGGAGAAAAACACAACCTCAATTTACTTATAGCATTCAAAAACAAAATGCTCCATCATTTGCTTGTTGGTTTATCTGACGCAATCAAAATTTGAATTTTAAAACTTAGTTTCAGAGTTTACTTTAAGGTTTTTCATCGTAATTTATTTTCTAGCATTAGCTTTTAAACTTATAGGAACAAAAATATAACAGTTTTAATTAACTATGAATTATTTTTATTTATCCATTCATTTTTTTCATGGTTTATTAGCCATAAAGCAAATAAGGAGAGTCAGAAAAAAATTGCTCATGGAGCAGGCTATTCCATGCAGGTTCTGAAGAAGAACTCTTCTGTCTATCACCTAGCTAGAATGCAGATGCATGCATCCATTTGCTACAGTATTGACTTCTTTTTCATGTATAGCAGTAGTAACTGAAACCTTCGATCCAAACAAGCAAACGACCATGCATGTGTAAAACACCCTGACACCATATATATATATGTCACATCAGCATTGGGCCATATCCATGGTACCATGCCTACACATGCTACAATATATGTGTAACTGTTTTCTTTTTTCGATCAGCAAAAAGATGATTGCCTTTGAAAAGGGCTACAGCCACTGTTCATCTAGCAATATATTTATATCTACAAGTTGTGGATCGATCGTCAATTTCGACTCGAGTAAACTCTGAATTAATCTCTGAACAGTTCTGACGATGAACATATGCAGCCTATATACATAGCTAAGCGATTGGCTCTATATACATAGCTGGAGTAGTATAGCTTCCCAGCTGCTGCAATTGATTAAATTGATTTAATTCGATCTGCCACTGCAAATCTGCAAAAGGGCTATCACCACTGTCCGATCGAATTCGTAGTAATAGATTGTGTCTAATTGATCAGTAATTAAGTTGCTATATTTCTAAACGGAGGAAATTAATATTTATATATCTACAAGTCAATCGATCGATATCAATCGCCAATTTGGACTCGAGTAAGCTCTGAATTAATCTCTGAACAGTTCTGACGATGAACATTTGTATGCAGCCTAGCTCATATAGGCCTTGTTAGTTCCAAAAAAAAAAATTTGCCCAAACACGTCATATCAAATCTTTGGACATATGCGTGGAGCATTAAATATTGATAAAAAAATTAATTGCACAGTTTACATGGAAATCGCGAGACGAATCTTTTGAATCTAATTAGTTCATAATTAGCCATAAGTACATATGCTAATAACGGATTAATTAGGCTTAATAAATTCGTCTCGCGGTTTTCAGGCAAGTTATAAAATTAGTTTTTTCATTCGTGTCCGAAAACTCCTTTCGACATCCGGTCAAACGTTTGATCGATGTGACACCGAAAAATTTTCTTTTCGCGAACTAAATACACCCATAGCTCTCCCAGCTGCTGCGATGATCCAGATGAATTGATTAAAATTGATTCAATTCTGCGCAACTGCAAATCTGCAAACTGATGAATGCATATGATCAATATGGACCGGAATAATGCGTGTGTGGCAGTAGCAGTGAAGACTGAAGAGAGCAGCTTTAAACAAGATTTGAGCTGCGGCTAGCTAGCAGATGAATCGTGGTGTAGATCGATCGACGACGATAGCTAGCTGAGGAGAACTGCAAGAGAATTGATTTGGCCTCTCTATCCAGAAGCAATACCGTTGGTCAATTAATAATTCAGACTCGAGATATCAACGTACGGCTTTTCACTTTTGCCGCATTACATTTCTGATGATTTCTCCAGTCTCGATTCGATCGATCGATGTCGGGATTCGTGCAAATTTTTGTACGGGTGCTGCCTTATTTACTTATGATTGGGCAGAGTAAAACCACATTGTAATAAGTTATTTCCTGCTGGCAGACTGCCACAGTGACTGGGATCAACCGGACATATGTCGTGTGGTGTTAATCTGTGCCATGCGCATAGGAATATATAACTTTTTAGAAAAAAACATTTGCTAAATTTATGGAAAATGTCCGATTTTATGTGCCATTTTATGCAAAACTAGGCTTTGAAATAATTACATGGAAAAAATATTATATTTTGTGTGTATAAAATAATATTAATCATGTGCCAACACCAGCTCTTTTGCCTATGTGATTGTGCAATTAATTCCAGGACATCAGCAGATATTGAATACTGGGAGTTATATATGCCATGTAGCAGTAAGCTTATAGTAATAACTACTTGTCTTGCCCATTTGTGTTTTGGCTTATAAACCATAATCAATTAATTTTAAATTTTAGAACTTGACTTGTGAGGGTATTTAGAACTTGATTTTAGAATTAATTCGGTATTTTTTTTTGGTAGGGGGGGGGGGGAGATATTTAGGGGAATGGATTCTAATCCCTCGAGGGGATATCCCCTCGTATACCTTTTTCTTCCAAATTCGATGCAAATAGTAGTGAAAAATTCTGAAAAAAATTGATAATGTGGAGTATAATGATACCTACTACTCCACCAAAATTCAAGTTCAAATTCGACCTACACATCGAGAAACAAAAAAAGATAAATTTAGATATAAACAGTACGCTACTATTCATACGCTGAATTTCTCTTTTTTATATCTCGATGTGTGAGTTGAGTTTGAACTTAAGATTTTGTGTAGTTGTATATATGAATGTTGTCAAATTTTTCCAGAATTTTTTATAACCGTTTAAATGGTTTTTAAGGAAACGAGGGAATATCCCCTCGAGGGATTAGAATAATTTCCCGATATTTGGGGGTGGTTTTTGGATGACTGAACTACCACCACACAAGCACCATATAGGGTTTTAACTATCTTGATTTGGAACCGGCGAGAGGTACTCAATACTCAATTTTGGAGTTGAGAAGTATATTTGGACACATACAATAGTTTGAGTTGGTCGAATCTCGAATAGAATGATGCTTATAGACAATATGTATTTAATTTCTTACCCTTTTGGTGAGGGTTACCTTCTACCCGGTTGTATCACGGTTAACGCAGTAACCGCATAGTTACCGTCAAATCCATGAACTTAACTTAAAAAACTGTAAGATTTCAAAAACCGAAAAGATTACCGCACGAGATAACCACGATAACCATGTGGTAACCACATGATCTTATAAACCCACCCACAGTGGCTTGCCCTAGGACTGTCCTAGATGAACCGATGATTCTTCAGAGATACATTAAGTGTAACAATGATAACGATTGGCATGCAACAGGGCAAGAGACCGATATGTGTACATGCAAAGCACCAATAAATTGACATGGGGAGAATTAATTAACCAAGTTACCCTGCCATTGATCGATCGAATTAACAGTAGTACGTACAGCCCCCCCTCATTAGTTTACACTGTACGACGCGACGACAAGACTCCCCGTCTTAATGAAATGATGATCCCGATCGAATTGGGCGCGTAATTAAATGGCACGTACTTGTGTGGCTATAGTAGCACATGTAGCTAGAGCTAAGCTAGCGTGCGTGCGTTGCGTTTTGCATATGAAATCGAATCGACGCCGTGTTTAGTTCAAAATATTTCTTCAAACTTACAACTTTTCCATCACATCAAAACTTTCCTACACATATGTAATACCCTGAAAATTCGACAACAAAAATCTAAACTCTAAAAATGCGGATTTTCAAAAACTTTTTAAATAAATTGCATCATGCCGATTTTATTCGATTATTTTATTGGAGTTTGGGTTCGGAGTTTATAAATCGCGAATAATGGATAATTGGTTAAGAATAAACCCTAAAAGGTAAATGGACAAAGTAAATAATTAAAGTGCAATTTAAAATAAGATTTGGTGAGGATAGAAATGAGTAAAATATTATTACGACCATATTTATATCCATCAAATTTA